GCGCCGGGGGGCGGGGGGGTGAATTATCCCCGGATTAATCACTCCGGAGCCGCTTCTCCGCCGCTCCAAATGCGGGGAGTGGAGGCGCAGCCAAGGGAAAAAAAATATTAGGGGGTGGGGTGGGGGTTCTTCAGCGCCATCTCCACCTCCAGATAAACCACAAATTACATCTAAAGGGTTGTTTATTCCTGTTTGTTTCACAATTGACCAGTTTCTTTAAGTTCGGTCCTCGGGCTTTCATTTATAAGATCACCATTAATATACCCCCATCTTACACACACATATACATGCGTAGGGAGACACACGTACACACATGCACTTGCATACACAGACACATACACGCCTCATCCACGTTTGGAAATTGGACTGCCTGGGAAAAGATAACCAAAGAAGGAAGCGGTTCCCCCAAGTCGTGACTCTTAGGGGATAATCTTGGGTGGTGGCTTTGAACTTGCAATCTTGGGACTGGAGGCAAAGTTCGGGAGCTCTGTTCGCAACAGTCTTCTACCCCATCCCAGGAGAGGGGCGTGTGTACATAGAGACAGGGTTAAGAACTGGGGGCGGGGGGGGGACCTCTGGATGTGCGCTCGGGGTGGGGGTTGGGTAGTGGGAGTTAGGTTGGTGAAAAGACTGTGCGAGAGTTACTTGTACAATTTCTCCTCCAATTTAAATAACCAGGCCCTTCTAGTTCCCTACACCCTCCAGCCAGGGCCCCAAAACAGAATAGTTTCTCCCAAGGATGTGAGCAGTCCCTGGCCTTTCCCTCGCTGCCTTCAGGCCCCAAAGGCTCAGCTTAGGTCCCCACCCCATCCCCCACCTTGCCTGGCTGTCCTCTCTGTTTGGTCTACCCAAGGCTCCTCCGCCAGTCACCAAGACTCAGCTCCTTAGCTGTCTACGACAAACTAGCCCAGAGCGCAGAGACGCTTGGGGAGAGGGAGGGGACGGAGGGGACAGTGAGGCTCTTGGGAGGAGCCCCCTCTGGCACGCGCAGTGGGAAGGCACCTGCTGATGGGCACCCCACCCCCTTTGCCAGAGGCACCCGGAGAGACCATTCTCGCGGTTTAGGAAGTCTGGAAGCCATGTGGTTTGGTCAAGCCAGCGCTCTGGCATCCTGGAGGAGGCTCTGGAGACAGAGGCTGAAGAGGGTAGGGGATGGCAGAGGTCGAGACCAGGAAATTTCCTGGGAACAGCTTAAAATGGGACTTCAGGGTTGGAATCTTGAGTTGGGGAGGGGCGGGACCCAAGTTGGCCGGCGGTCTGCAAGCCTGGGAATTCTCAGGGAAAAGCATGCAGGAGGACTATGGGTTAGAGAGGAAGGGACCAGGTCGGAGAAGTGGATGCCAGTAGACCTTATCCCCTCCAAAACCGGCCCAGTTCGTGAGCCACACTTTCGCAGCAGGCTTGAAGCGAGTCTTCCTTCCTCCCCCACCCCACCCCAAGTGGTTCCGGTTTCCCTGCATGAGCTCATCCCACAGCTGGGGAGCCGGCTGGGTGGCCCTGGGGTGGGCGGGGAGACTCCTCAGAATCCCCGGCCGCATCCCCACCCCCATCACACTTGCTTTCCGCGGCCCCTCCCGATGCCGCCTCGCTGGGTGCCAAGAACCAACGGAGCAGCCAGAACGCCTCAGTGAAAGGCTTGCTTTATATCTCTGGGGCAGCAAGGAGGGGGCTTTTGGCTTCTCATTGTCCAGACCCAGCCCCCAAAAGAGAGAGCTTGGCCAGCCGCGACTGGCCGGGCCTTCCCACCAACCCTGTAGGGGAGGGAGGGTCTGGTGCTGTGGCGGCCAGTTGGTGATGGCCTTAGGGACTGTTGCCTGATGCCTGGGCCTTGCCTGGGGTGGACTCTGAGCTCCTGATCTTGGCTCTTTCCCACTCTCTTGTGGGCCCAGTTCTCCTGCAAAGAAGGAAACTGGCAGTGATGACCAGGCCTCAGCAGCCCACAGCTGGGCTGTTCTATAATTCTGGGGCCCAAAGCCAGTAGACTTTTCCCCTACCCATGAAATTTAGCTCTGAGGTTGGAACTGACAGATGAGGTTTATGCTAAATCCCTCCCTGGCAGAAGGAGTATTTGTCATCCTTCCTGGGGGCTGGGGAGGGCAGGGACACCCTTTAAATCCCTTGTAAGCGACCCACTTACTTCCATTCTCCACCTCTTGGGCTCACTCTGATCTATTTGGGTCCACACAAATTTACTGAACAGCCTCCTATGTTCAGGGGCTATGCTGTGAGCCCTGCAGAGATGCTCAGTGTGTGGTCCTGGCTTGGGAGGATGCAGAGGTAGAAACCCACAGGTAACTGATACAGTCAACAGAAATGGCCAGGGATGAAGAAGAGGCATGCTGTGTAGAACCACATCAGCACACTAAGCTTGCCTGGGACTTGGGAGATCAGAAGGCTAATTGAAGGATGGAGGTAGGATTTGGGATGTACTTTGACACCAGGATAAAGACTTTGATGGGATGAGGATTCATTTATTCAACAAATATTTACTGAGTACCATTATGTGTCCAGGCAATGTGTTGGGTAAAGAACACACATGATAGTGGATAGTTCTTGACTTGATGAAGGTGTTAAACAAATATGCATGATCCTCCTAAGGAAGGGTATTGATAAGGAAAAGCTCACATTGCAGTTAGAACACAGGGACCATGTGGGAACCCTGCTCTGATTTGACCCTCAAGATGGGATTGAAAATTAAGTGAGGAAGGTGTTGAAAAGAGCTTTGTACAGAGAACACAGACAAGACCTTCAACAGGGAAGGACTCCGGGTGATGGAGATACCCTGGAGATGCAGAGATGCAGGACCCAGGCCAAGAGGAGGACCATGTAGATCTCCTCAGGGCTAGGGAGGTTTTGGATTTTATCCTTAGTCAGTAGGAAACTGTAGCTGTGTCTACTTACTAGGTAGGACTGTGGTAGCAAAAGTACTACAGATTGTGTGACTTAAACAACAGACAATGCTTTCCTCACAGCTCTGGAGACTGGAAGTTCAAGATTGAGGTGTCCCTGTGCTTGATTCCTCCTGAGGTCCTTCTCCTTGACTTATAGATCTTGGACTTCTTCCAGTGTCTTCCCATGGTCTCCCCTCCGTACATATCTGTGTCTTGATTTCCTCCGGTAAGGACACCAATCATTTTGAACTAAGATCTCACCCAAATGTTTTCATTTTCACTTAATTACCTCTTTGAAGAACTTATTTCCAAATAAAGTCACATTCTGAAGACTGGGGTGTCAACTTATGACTTTTGGGAAGTGGAAACACCACTGAGGCCCTAAGAAGAGGGGAAGACTTTGCAGGTTGGGGGAGGAGTATGAGCATATGCGTGGCAATTAGAATACCTATGTAAGGAGATGTCTGTTAGGGCTGAGGGTGCAGCTCAGTGGTGGAGTGTTTGTCTAGCATGTAAAATGCCTTGGGTTTGGAGGGGAAGAAGGGAGCAAGTCAGAGGGTGTGTGCCGTGCTATAGGTCACAGGACAGCCATTGCAGCACATACTGTGGAAGCTGGATGGGATTCTGATATGAGTATTGGTTTCATTCCTAGCCTATGGAACCAAATGGCACAAGACAGCATGTGCTTTGGCTTCTCTGTGGAGGATGGAAAGGAAGGGAAGGAAAGATTCCTGGCAGGCTCCTAAAATGATGGCACAGATCGTGATATTCTAAAATGGTGGGTTCCAACTTAGCCCCGGAAAGTCTCTCTGCTCATTGGGAGACCAACCAATCCTGAGCTGAACTGTGCAGCCTACGTCATGGAAGTTATCCAACCACCTAACTGCCTAGACAAGATGTCTGACTTCCCCTGCTCGCTGTTTCTTCTCTGCTGCTGTTTCTCTGCTCCCTGAGAGGCAGCCCAGTAATCTGTTTGCTCTCAAATAAACTGCCCCCCCCCCATGGAGTTGTCTGGTCAGTGGTCTTTGCTGCTCCTCTTCCATACTGAAGAAACACAGGAAAAGATTGACCACTGGAGGTGGGGTACTGCAGTGGTCTGAACCCTAAGTCTGAACAATATGGGCAGAGGCAGGAATGGGGACTCTGGAAACATCTGCAGAGCAGCAGAGAAGTAGAAATCAAAGAGATGTTCAGGTCCTCCTCCCTCAGGCCTAGGAGAGTTTGATTGTAAGCACAGCCCCCAGAGTCAGCTCCTTGCCCACCCCTAGCCTTCTTCAGATGAGCAATAGACAACCCAGGATCGAAGTCTCTTCATAATACCATACTGAAAAAAATAAAAAGTCCAATGCAATGTAGTGACTTGCCAAGATAAGCCTAATATCCAGATAAGATCAGAGTTTGTTTTAGAAAGAAAACAAAGCCCGATGCTCTCTTAGAGAACTCAGCCCGATTCAGGTAAGGACTGTAGATTGGATGCCCTGAAATTTTCATTCTGACCGACCCAAGAAGAAAATGAAAGAGTGTATTGAAGCTGAGAGACAGAATGGAGGGAGAGGGGAGAGGGGAGAGAGGAGAGAGAGGAGAGAGAGGAGGAGAGGAGAGAGACTTATGTACATAATTAAAATTTTTAAAACAGCCACATGAGGACTGAGCTGGGTGCTGGGGAGGTAGGACTGCAGAGGAACTGGACTCAGAGGGAAGGCCTAGGGTCTGAGTTGGGGACAGGATGCTACTCCTGAGCACAGGATTTCTCAGAGGTGAGCCTGGTGCTGTGGGCAGGTGGCAGAGTGGTTCATGCAGGACCAACCCAAAAGGAGCCACGG